TGCTTATCGCATTCATGCGACAGCGATCTGTAGCTGTTGTTTCCTTTTCGTCCTTTGGTGCTACCGGAATCCGCATTTTTGGAAGGATGTGCTTTTTCGCGCTCTTCAGTTGTTCTTCTTTAATGCGACTTGTCTTAGTATTTTTTCCTTTACTCGTCATAGTCCTCCCGAATGTACTTCCGTGTTTTTTTTGCACAACGCAGTGTACTCATCGTCCAGTTGACCATCAGCCTTTATTCTGGCTCCTCTGGCCAACAGCTGCTTCGTTGCATGCTGGTGCATTCTTTCTTCGTCGACGTTACTGCTCGACTGGATGAACGGATGGTAGTTTTGATGGTATCGATGATGTGCTGGTAGTGTGCATCCACGTTTCTGTTGACATCTCTTGCGACGGTCAGCTGAGGAAGCTTGTCGGCGAATGCTTCAGGATCGATATTCCTCCAATGGTCGGTAGTCTTTGAACGTTTTTAACCAGATCTTCTTTAGCGACATCGATTGTGACTGTGGAACAGGTTTGACCCCGTACAGGCGATGCTTACTCCAATGACAGACTCATCCGCCATTACCCGTCTTTTGCTCGTCAGCACTAGTCCGTTTGGTTGGAGGTTGTTCCATTACGACTCTTCCACGTGCACTGCTTGTGCTCAGCTTTTTAGAACATGGTATTCATGATGTGAAGACGGTCACTTTCAGCAAAAATTGCGAGGTGAGACCCGCGTTCGTTTTGTTCTCCACTTCCAAACCGGCCAATGAAACAACGCTCTGTCTCGAGTTGTTTCCTTTCCTGTTATGGCGTTTAAATCTTCCTAGGGTATTCTGTAGGTGCAGTGCACTTTCCAGTTCCTCGTAGAACTGCTTAGTTCTGCATCGTCCGCTGCATTGGGCAATAAGCTTTTTCTTTGGTGGTGTTCCCTTATTCAGCCGTAGAATTGGTACAACGAAACGAGGTGAAATAAGGTCACACGACTGACTACGAGCATTACAGACCTCTTCTTCACGATGAATTTGACATCGCCTGTCCGAGCCCGGTTTTCGTC